GAGCTGGCAATTATGTATGTTATTTATGTTGTGGATCCAGTCAATAGTTGCTTTTCCACTGGTTAACTCCTAACTTCTTCCTTAGTTAAGAATTAATTAAGTCTTGTATCGTTTTACTTATTTTTCCTAGTTCAATTTTATTTGGATTTATGAGTCTGCATGCAGGTTTGGTTTTGAAATTTTCTTTGTGGTCTTTTAGTGTGATAAATGCTTGCATCTTACTGATGCAACCTATTCGGACATCTACGTCTAATTTTGGGCGATTGCTTTAGCTTCCTTATAGATATCGTGTTATATTGATGCCGGTGCTTTTTTGTTTGTTGGCTATGTTGCCCTTCAGTATTTTGTGTAGGGGTGGGGGTTAGTTCATACAAATTTCTTGTTTTGTCCGCTGCGATAAATAGATTTATTGAATTGTTTATTTTAGGTATATCTTCTTTTTTTTTGCGTATTGTTTTTTAGTGAACTTTATGTTTCTAACTAGGTCAGTTAAGTCTTTCTCGATTTCGTCTAATTCTTTTTGTTTCAGCGGGTGGGGGGCATTTTTTAGTTTTAAAGCCGTATTTTTCCTTGGCTGTAATGTTATTTTGAAGGTCCTGGCTTAAACAAAATGGGCTTTCCATCTTATTCTTTTTATGAAGCTTTCTGTGTCTTCAATTAATCAGCTTATACGAGGATCGAGATTGGATGGGTATGTTTTTTAGGGAGTAGTCGAGGTTAACTTTTTCTATGTCCATAATGTCTGGCGAAAATATAGCGATAGTGACCGCATTTTTCATTTACTGCGTTAATAAAATATAGAAAACAGAAAGGAATAAATAAATATATAGAATAAAAAATGAAAATAAAAAACAAGAATAAAAATAAATAAACAAGAAAAAAAACAACCCATTAAATTATTTATATATATATAAAATAAATCAAACTAAACGCATGAATCAGCCCTCTGAGTGTTGAAAATAACCGCAACGAATATTGATTACCCATTATACGCAAAAAACTATATTTCTTCATATATATATATATATATAAATAATATATATATGAAAAAATTCAACAAGGTACTAGTTGAGCCTTGACGATTGTTCTATCGGATGAATCTATTATAAAAAATTTAAGACTTGTTGCCTCAAAAATAACAACACACCAACGAATTGAAAGTTCTCTTTAAGGTTCACCAAACCAGACTCATATTTATATCTACATACCACATGTTTATCCAGACGTCTTACATATTGAACACTTTCAGTCCCATAAATTTATAACATACTAGTAAAAACACTAATATATTAACTGCATCCACTTTCTTCTAAAAAATATAATAATAAAAAAGAAAAAGCCAACTATATATATATAACAAAGCCACAATATATTCGGATAAAACATCACTATATATATATAGAACACACACTCTACTATATAATATCATATATATATAAAAGTATATAAAAACAGAACATTCGGACAGTTCTTATATACTCTTTGTCCAGAAAAAAGAAGGCTCTTGTCATTAACTGCATAAAGGAAGGATTGCTTACCTAATTATACATATACATTAATATATATATATATATATATATATATATATATATATATATATATATATATATATATATATATATAATCACCAGTTCCACATCACATTGAAACACCAGTATACTATAACCAAAGTTAAGCAACGTCAAGACTGTCACTGTCTTGATGGGTGACCGCTCGGGAATATTAGGTAATATAAGCTTGATTGTTCATGTGATCTAATGAATAATGACTGGGAATTTTTAATCGGAGAGCTGACTAAAAATTCCTTTTGCGTCCGTCATGTTCACTTATGCGCAAATACCCTTTGGAAATGTATCAATCTACCTCTTCTACCCCAGGTTAGGGACTAAATAGTAGGAGTTTTTATAAATGAGCCATTATTATCTCTTCCATCCAGTTCTTACGATCTGAAAATATTGCGTTAAATAACCTGAAAAGTTTGATAACCCATAGAAATCGAATCAGTTAACCAATCAATCGTTGTCGACCGCAGTCGCGAAAATAGTCATTGTAAAATCCACGATCCTTTCATTAGGTACACAATATATGCTTCATCAGGGCTACATACGATTTTGAAATCAGAGTTTTCCTTCGCGAAGACTAGTGCCTACCAAGGTTGAAGAACACAATCTGCTTTACTATTTCCCTATAGCTGGTGATTTTTGAATTCAGAGTTGTCCTTCTGCTTTATACATACATACACACACACACACACACAGAGTATAATAAATGTGAGAAATCCACTGCAAAGGTTTACTGCCTTTTTTGTGGACACCGAAATGGTTATGTCGTGATGTCCACATTTAAGTTGCGGAACAGTAGTAATCTTTGTTTATTGCTTTTCTTATATTTATTACACTGGCTCTGTTTGTCTTGGCTTTTTTCATTGATCATTGTTCTGTAGCATCCTTTTTGGTTTTTATTATACAATATATATTTTTCTAAGGAATAAATAGATATTTTATCCGACATTCTTTCATAATATTCCAAACATTATTTAGAGGTTACCTATATTTGTGTAGACGCCATGATTTCGTTTTTGATTTTTTTTTTAATTCACGCTGTTTTCAAAATCAGATTGTTTCCTCAAACATGGATATTCACGAAATAACGGTTATATTTGTAGGTAATGTATATATATATATATATATATATATATATATATATATATATATATATATATATATATATATATATTTCATATATATTTATATGCATATATAGTTTATATGGGCAGTAAACTAGAGGAATTTAGTTGCTGCAATATTAGGTTTCCCTAAACTTAACGAATTTAGCGATCAGCAAACAAATGGGTTTATTTTTTTTTTAAATCCCACCCAACCAACCATAATCAATCAAGCAGGCATAAATGGATCTATTTTTTAGAAAATAAACCAGTTTGTCTGATGATCTCAAAAGTGTGAAACCCCGGATCAGAAGCTAATATCCATACAACTGAATATACATGCATCCATATATATATTACACATTTGCTGGGATAGTCATGTTGCAAGGATGTGTGATGACAGAATACCGAAGGTCCTCATGTATAACAAACTTGGCAGTGGGCAATTGGAAGGCCGTGACACAGGTATAAAGACAAGGTAAAGAGTAATTTCTCAATTGTCAATGTGCCTCATACAAAGTAACTTCGAGCGAGTTGGCTTGGAAAGAAATAATTTGCGATATTTGGGCCAGAGCAGTATCAGAGACTAAAGACAGCGGCGAAAAGTATTAGCAAATATTTCTGTGGCTATGTCATGAGATCCTCGCTATTTCACTCATACGCCTCACTAGTGGCACTGAAGTCTCAGAACCATAAAATTTAAATGAAGCTGTCGGATCCGACGAGAAAAGTCCATCATTATACACACGCACACCCACATATATACATATATATTCTCTGAATTTAAATGTTCTTTAATGGTAACTGTCATTAAAAACAAGAAACGTACCACAATACCATCAAAATCAAACAGTAAATATGAAATTAGGATCAGAGAAGGAATACTCATAAATCAAAAAACATCATCCCTGAATAAGGGCAATTATAATTTAAAAGGGCGTATATTCAAATGTATATAAAACACACAACACACCTTGCCTATATAATAGAAATTTTTGGCTTTGTCACAACACTCACCATTTTTCTGTTGAAAGTTTGGCCCATATTTCTTCCGATAATTCTTAATTTTGAAAAGTCGACGAGTAAAATTAATCGACAAAAATTTATGTTCTTTTTAATAAGGATTGCCGTGAATATATATACAAATTTATTCCAAATAAATATATATATATATATATATATATATATATATATATATATATATATATATATATATTCATTCAATTAATGCATTACCAATTTAACGGGTTTTTGTATTAATTTAAAATTATTTGCAAAATAAATTATTCACTACAGATTGAAATATGCTAAAAAAAATTTAAATATTTAATTTTGACAAAAAAAAAAAAAAAAAAAAAAATACTGAAATGTAAACACCTGGTCTAAAATTGCGCCATCATGAATTACTTTTAAGGCCCGGAAGGCAATTATACGAAGGCGAAGTCTAAAATTGTTTCTAATTTTATTCTACTTCGGAATTTTCAAATTTTAAATTATCCAGCTCGTCCAGTCTTATTTCGGTATAATTAATTACACATTGGTTAGAATAAATAGGAAGATACAGTCGTGTATTATCACACACACACACACACACACACACACACACATATATATATATATATATATATATATATATATATATATATATATATATATATATATATATATATATATATATATATATGTGTGTTATATATATATAGAGAGAGAGATGGAGGGAAAATGCTGGTGAAGAGTTGTAACATAACATATAAGTTTCGTAAATTCCTTTAAAAAGCTTTCATGACATGATTTATTTGATATGAGACAAAGTACACAATAATGTCAACATATATACATATATATATATATGTATGTATAAATGTAAATATATATATATATATATATATATATATATATATATATATATATATATATATATATATATATATAAATATCTAAAACACACATAGAGAGAGATAAAGAGAGAGAGAATGTTCTGACGAAGAGCAGATGTTTTCTAAATTTACCTTACACCACAGGAGAGTGTGAGTGAATATTAACTTTTAAATAAAAAAAAATGTTGCTTTCTCTAGAATCCATCGTGAATTTTAATAAGTGTGTCTTTTTTTTTTGTTTTTTTTATGTTGGGTTCAATTTTTTTTTCTTTTTTCAATTTTTGCAAAGATTAAACCTGAAATATTATTTCATGTAAAGAAAGGGAAAAAAAGTGCCCAAAGCCATAAAAGGCCCAGAAAATTTGTTTTGGTTCGTTCTCGTCTCTGGGGACGGACGGTGACCAGAAACGTAGTCAATTTTCACTTTCAAATTAGAGGCCGCTGGTAATCTTTTGTAAATGACATATGAGCTACATTTTTTTTTTATTAAAATCGTTAAATGTTCGAGTAGAGTAAATTATCTCTCTCTATCTCTCTCTCTCTCACAACACTATCTATCTATCTATCTATCTAGTTATGTATCTAAATATTTTCATATATATATATATATATATATATATATATATATATATATATATATATATATATATATATATATATCTTTATTTCACACTGCATATACCTGGCTGTCTCTATGAATGTGCGTATACGAAATAACCTTTTTCTTTCTTGTAGATGCGGAAAAGTTGTTTTACGTAAATTCAACCAAAACATTATATTGAACAGATTTTCTCCGCCCGGAAGGGGCGGAGATCAGCAACAAAATTATTTTCGGTTACCAGTTACCCGGAAATACTTGAGGATAAGACAACCTATGATTTGACCGAATAAATCATTAATTTATTATAGACTTTGGCTATTGATTCCCTCTCTGTTATGTTTCCGTTGGTCGAAGAGTAAATTCATAAAAGACAATGTATTTTATGATATATAAATCTATAATCAGGAAAGCTTTACTAAAGTTTTCCTACGTGTAATTATATATCTTATATATAAAGTACAGTGTATGTTTGTCTGTGCGTTTGTGTGTCCAAGCAACTCCTCTGCTCCCACAGGTTCGATTTCAATGATTCATAGCTCATTCAAAAGTCAGGCGTAGTGAACGTTTTTCGTTGAACTCAGATTCAAGGTTGTCAAATTATGCGAGGTTAGAAATATATATTAATATATTTTACTAGCCATTATTTTTGCTTTCATGATTCAAGTGAAGTAACAATTATTTTCCTTTAGTATCCAAAATTGCAGCTAGCTTAAAATTTTAAGCTAACTTAAATATCACACGATAGGGCAACATTTAAGCTACCTCCTGGTTTGGCCATCATCACGATATCTAGTGAGAAATAAATGTAATAGGCTTCAATACACTACAGAAGAACTCAAAATTGATCGCTGCTTTTAAGTAATGAAGTAATGTTTAAGCTTAAGTTTTGAAGGTTCAACGATAATTATTCTGCTGCCACTTATTTTAAAGTTGATTTGACATTCGTAGATCTTTATTTTCCGTAGAAACAATTATTTTTATTTCATGGGTGACAGAAAATGGGAGGAAATTTATACGATAAAATTAATATAGTGTAAAGTTGGGAAAATAGAAATTAGAATTAGATATACATTCAACATTAGAAGAGTTAGAGAAACATAATAGCTAATTAAGTAAAACCTATATTATGGTATCTATATGAATAAATGCGAAATTGGAGCTGAATTCTCCCATGAATTCTGAGATAAAAAGCCCCTGCTCTACTTTATAGTAATTTGGTACTTACTCGAGCCCTATGAAGTCGCGTTGTAACCCAAGCATTGTTTAATGCGGGGAGCCCGAGCGCGTACACCCAGGCTAAGAACAAAAATTCCCCGAACCCCTGCAACCATCGGTTGCACTAGCATTGGTGCGAGCGCCGACCACACTCTCTAGTGTAATGAGAGGGCGCGGCCTCGGGTAGTTGTTTCCCAGACCCGACAACTCTTACTATAATTTTCTTCCTTTGCGACTCTGTCCCTCGACCAAGCCGCCCCTGAGCGCACTCTGCCAAAAGACAAAGATGCAACTGACAGATGATAAATTAACGTGTTTCAAACTACTTTATATTAGAGACTTAATTGACCCCAACACTGAGTCAGGTTATGACACAAGGTCAGTTTTTAACATGGGACCCGAGGTGGTCTTAACTGGTCATAGCTTGTACAAGCTGGTCAGAGCTCGTCTAAGCTAGAAGTAGCTGGTCATAGCTTGTTCAAGCTTGTCTTAGCTAGTCATAGCTGGTGTTAGCTTATTCAAGCTGGTCAGAGCACTCCAAACTAGTCATAGCCGTGATACCACCAGCGTCATAAATATTTTTGATATGAAAATCAAAACAATGCTCGAAGAAAAGAAATGTAATGAAGGACAGTTAATTAATTAAATAATAAACTTTTTTTTATAATCAATATGCGAATTAGTTAAACCTGAAGAGCGATATTGTCTAGAAGAAAAATTGTTCTGTTTAGGAATATTGTTTTATATAATGCAAGAAAGAGTTTTTGCATTTTACTTGGCCTTCGACAAGTTGGTTTTTATTTGTAAAACTTCCTTAACAAGCCAATTTATGAATTAAATGTTTATTTAAAAAAATTTCAATGAATTCAAGTAGTAAATATATCTTACTTTGCCAAGCGAAATATCTACTTATTAGATATATTTGGAAATAACAGGTTTTCATTTTTACTGCCAGTTTAACCAATACTTGTAATATGTTTTTCATGTTAGAATTCAGATGCGTAAGATCTCAATTCAATTTACATATTACTTTCCCAGTCTCCTTCTCTGGACATACGCTCATGTATGCATACATAAAGACATATATACAGACATGCATACAAACACACACAAATGCGCACTTGCGAGAACTCACATTACGTGTACCTACTGATACGAACACCTCATATAGACGCAGATATACACTTATACACTCACGCACATATAGGTACATATATATACACACACACACCCATATACAATCAAAGGTCGGTCACCTCGAGGCGGCGTAATGGTTAGCAAGCTTGTCTCGCTAGAACAATTACGACTAAGTAGTAAGTTCGATCCTCACTGGGTGCCTCCTACTTTCGGCCGTGTGCCAGACCTAAGCTACGCATGGAAAATCACTTAGGAACCTCGGCGTGGTGTAATGGTTAGCAAGCTTGTCTGGCTAGAACAATTACGACTGAGTAGTGAGTTGGATCCTCACTGGGTGCTCCATATTTTCGGCCTTTCAGAAGCGCTTAGAATGTCTCTATGTACAATCAAAGGTAGATACCTTTTTGAATTAATGTTCACTTAATACAAGAGCCACTTAAGGCAGAGGATTACTACGTAGTGCTGCATGAACTTAAGAAAAGGAAATAGTGAAGGTCATGTGGTTATGTAGGAAAGATAAAAGTTAAATCTAGATCTTAAGAGGTCAGTACAGTATCGATTGGGTAAATATCCTGCCAGGAGTCAGCTCCACAATGTATCTGTGCTTGGGAAGAAACTGTTCTTGGGAGTGAAACTTACTCCTTACTAATGGAATACAAAGGGAGTGGGGATGATTCAGATTTTTGTACGCGTAATGAAGATCCCACTTGTAAATGTTAGTGTTGGTAGGACAAGGAATGTAATTCGTCCAGTTAGATGTCATGGAAATAGCGATAGAGCTGTGATAGACTTGCGACGTTTCGCCTGGGAGAATGAGGTTGTAGGATGGCCAATAATCTTCAAAGTGAGGATTGGGAAGCTCCAGCCCAGTTATGCTAGCAAAGGCGGTGGACCTGCGTACATCCTTGTGCAAATTAAAGTGTCAGGTAGTAATCAATTTCTAGTTTGTCCTGTGACGTCCCTACAGCCTTCACTCGCTCCTCGCCGCTTCGTTCGCGTGTCGCCGCTCCAAGCGTGACGTCCGCCCGTCTGCGTCAGTCGTGTTGTCCCGTCCTGTGACGACCAACTGTCTTGGTATTGATAGCCAACCCTTCCGATAATATTGTTTCGCTCTTATCGCTACATTCTAACAAAACCCAGACCTTGCCTAACGATATCCTTCCCTCGACTTAACCTATTTTCCTTTGTTTTCTTTAGTTCGTGGGTGGTCAGGCAGTCCTGTGACACAGTTAAATGTTTATCTATTTTGTCCCTGAGTTTAGCTAGCCGATCTGGAATTTGTCAATTAGATTTTCGTCAGCACCAAGTGGCTGTTATCCATTCTGTCCCTGAGTTTAGCTAGCCGATCTGGAATTTGTCAATTAGATTTTCGCCAGCACCAAGTGGCTGTTATCTATTCCCGATAATATAAGTCCGCCACCACGACAGAGTCAATTTTTATCTATTCAGAATTTTCTGCAATGGCAATGAAACCTTTCACCATTTGTCACTATCAAAATTTCATTTCTTTTCTTCCTTTTCTTTGCTTCCCAAATTGTGTCACAGTCCTCAAAGTAGATCATTTGCGATGGCACGAAGTAATATGAATCTATTTCTGGGGTGTATCTTGAGAGTGGTTTCGCCTTGAAAAATATTGCATCATCTTGATCGCATTAGATTTTTATCAAGCCCAGACACTATTGTCTCGACAGTCGATTAGTTATCCTACAGCTATTGTCTGCGATGGACGTTACTTCAAAGAAGCGCACGAAAATTGTGTCGCTTCACGAACACACTGGCACGTCTTACCAGTGAGCAAATCAGAGTACTATAGACTGGCCTGGAAAAACTCTTGATTTAAATCCAATCGATAATCTGTGGTCAATCTACAATGAACGACTTTGTGGATTGTACATACACTGGGTCATGTTTCATTGGAACAATACAAAAAATAGTAAATAATAATGGAATTATTCGTTTTGTTTCAATTAATTTGCACGAGCGTGTATGCGCAGAACCGTAATGGATTTACGGTTATGCGCATACGAAAATTTTCCGGATATTACCTTGACATTTCATCCTTTTTTCTTTTAGTTATGCATTATTTTCTTGAAATTTATGATTAATATTTTTCATTTTTTATTGATGTTATACTTTATATTCAATTTAATTGCAGATGCATTTCCACATATGTTAGCACCAAAATTTGCTCTTCGTGTTTAACTTACACAGTCGAACTATATATGTTTTTGTCCTGGAAGAACATCTTAATTTTTTTCTAATTAACTTGCATAGTATTTGCTAAGTCGGTAGGTTTAATGTGTCGTTCCAGACATTGTTTTTCATCAGAATCCATTTTGCACATTTATAAATCAAGACATTCATCCGTGCATTAACTAATTTCTGTTATATCTGCATTCGTGTTCCGGATTTATGACTAGAAATTCGCGACAAAATGTAAAAGATATTTTGTAATGTTATCGGTCCTGACCTAGCACCACGTCTTCAGTCACATTCACACCGCCATCACGTGGTTTACCTCTGCCATTTTATAAATGTTTTCATGGCAATTGATCTAATGAACTCTCCCTCCTGGGTAGATCGATCGCAGAAATTTAAGCTTATTACTGAGCTGGAAACTACAATAATTTATTTTCTCGTAGTTGTGAAACTCTCTTCTTCCCTGCCACCAACGATCTAAATAAATTTCAATGCAACTTCAATCTCTATCTTCTGTCTTCCTCAATACTGTTCGCTTAATTTTTTTTCTCATTAAAGTCTTCTTTTCCACTCTCAGTCACCCTCTTGCATCTTAGTGGATTTATCACCTTGCATCGTATGAAATGATTAAATAACATGCAATTTTACTATAATGATAAAACACTGTCAATTATTATTCATTTTCCACGAGTATTTCTTTCATCATTATTTCCGTTGTTATTACTGAGACCGTCGATCAACGGAAGTGAGTAAATAACATCAATCGAAAGTAATATTAATCTTTCGTCTCTACCTTGCATCTATCTTGACGGGTTCTATATTGATTAATTTTAATAACAAATTTAAAATGACATGCAGCCAATAGTCTTATATACCTCTGATCTCTCTCGGCTAATATTTTCATCGGGGAAGTGTGTGGGTTGGGAACCGTGCTACATCCTAATGTATCAGAGTAGAGGAGTTAAATAGGGGAAGTAGGAATCACATGCTCCAGGCAGATCCATTAATCCTAATCTTAGTGTTCTAAATTTTCCAAAGTTGCCTTGCAACAATCCAGTTTCGATATTTAAGTACATGAATGATTTTCGTCGTCCATGATTTTTAGACAACGATATCACTTCCCCATCACAACAATTTTTCTGCAGCTGACCGCAAGGATTACATAAAAAATGAATTTAAAAGCGAACAATTACTTGTCTAAGATGCAACACTTCATTTCGACCGTGTTTGCCGAATCTCCTTTCAGAGTCAATGGTTTAACGAAAAGAGTAAAATTATTGGATTGTGTTACTTGATATTTATTCTACTTTGCACAAAATGTGTTGATTTTTCGTCGCACTGGTTTACTTTGTCAGCTGAATTAAGTTAGAAAGGCGGCAGAAATGTGGTTGAATTTTTTTGCTTCGACGAGAAAAAATCAAGCTAAACCGCTTGTCGTCGTCACCTGGCTAGCAACAAAATGAGTCCCATTAGGATTTTAGACAAATACATTCTTCCATGACATCTGATTATGATTTAAATTCCGTATTACATAGGATCATTTGCCTCGTCCAAATATCTTCTGGTCCGATTTCCGTTTCATAATTAGATCATCTAATTAGCAGATCGATCAAATTATTCATTCTACTGGCAAATATTTTCCTTTCTGCTACTCCTTAATACGGTAACCTTCAGGTGTTCACACTTATGAATAAATAAATCAATTCGTGTCGACTTTCTTTAAAACCTATGAAGAGATCCAATTTGATATTTATTTGTCTGTGTCTTTATTGATTTAGCGTTTGAAGAAGAAACCTTACTTGGTCTTCTTCGTGTTGCCCATTTAGAAAAATCGAATAACAGCTGCCCCGTCTCGTTCTTGAAGTACATGACTGAACCAGAATGATTCTTTCAACTGTTTTTCGTCATCTGTAACTTTTCAACCACGGGGTTAATTTCTTTCACCATTCACCAAAAATGATCAAAACCGACGAAGCGGCTCCCCGACAACCAAGCCAGGTCAGAGTTCAAGACGCGACTCCTTTACTTGGCCTTTTACAATAGTTTGTCTTTTCATTAGCAAAAGGCTTTCACGTCGGAGATTATAAAACGATAGCAGTAAAAACAAGAAAAATACAGTGGAAAAGAAACTAGTGTTGAATTTATATTAATGGTTATTTCTATTTAAAAAAAAATCAAGTTCCCCGCCCCCAATTAAAGTTTTAAACCACTAAGGCACAAGTGTGTTATTGGGTTTAGATGGATTACAAAACAGAAGCATTATTAAGGAGAGAATACAGAAGAAAATTAATTAGAAGGACAGTAGATAGCGATTGACGTTGCATTTAAATTCTTGAAGATTAAAATTGGAAAGGATGGAACCGGAAGAGAGTTTCACGTGCGAGAAATTAAACTGTTAAAATAGAATTTAAGGTTATCTGTAGCCAATCCAATTGTATATCGATGAGATCTTGTTGCCAATTCTAGTACAACGTTTATACAGTGTAACCCGGATATAAGAGACCTGGATATAAGAGAAACCCGGATATAAGAGAGATTTTCTCTGGTCCCAAATTAGAGCCTGTGTTAATGTATATAAAATAGACCAAACCCGGATATAAGAGAACCCCGGATATAAGATACATCTTCTCCGGTCCCGACAACTCTCTTATATCCGGGTTACACTGTATTTATAAAGATGTGTCGTCATCGTGAAGATATTTATTTGGAATTATTTACAAAATGTGACACAAGGCCAAGGTGGGGGATTGTGAAAAGGGCGGACTTTTGTCTTAATATTAAACTTATCCACAAACACTGAGCCCAAACATACAACAATATTTCTAACACCAAAAGAACGCATTCTTACTTACTTTTCCCCCATAATACCTCAATGTCTGCATGAAAGTACTAACTAGTCACCTTGTGAGGGAGGGGAATATAACATCAATTTAGAAAATAGTCTCAATGCGAAGAGCTCATTCGAACAATTAAATTGAAAGTATTTATGGTAAAGGTACAAAGAAAAGACGGTGAGAAAGTGACCGAGGCCGAGATTTTACGGCATTTAATTTGAACCTTATCGGGTTGATCAAATTTGCTATCAAGACAGGAGGTAGTAGCTGTGACAGCATCACAGATACCAATTTGAGAGCTGATACTATCAGGAATATCATTAATGAAAATTAAAAACAAAGTGGCGGCAAGGATAGTGCATTCGAGGACAACTGAATTAGAACGAAAGGTTCTGGAAGTTTGGGATAACTTTCATTTCACGATTTGACACGAAAGACTGTTTCAGTTCAAATTGTGTCCAGATACACTTTAACTTAATAATTTGTGAAGAAGACCTGTATGCCAAATCCACTCGAAAGCTTTCGATGTGAACAAAGCTACACGGTTCATGATAGACTCTTTCCGCAATTATCGTTAATACATCAGCAGTTGACTTGGAAAAACAAAAAAAGCCATATTGCTTTTCTGAAAAAGACCCTGCGATATGAGATGCTTGAACACATTTAGACTATTTCGACCAGAAAATTCTTACTAACGTGGATTATACAGAAATGTTCTCCATATGTTTCCATCGAAATATCTCAAACAATCTTTTCTTGTTGAATATTTATAGTATTAAATAATTCATCATTTATTGATAACGTTACATCACAATAATATTGCTTACTATTCGTTTTTATATTTCTTTCTGACGATCATTTACCAAATGGCCCAATATAATGTCTACGTTTCAGAAATATGTAATATTGCTATAAGTAAAATCCAATTTCGTTTTGGTAGGTCACGTGAAATAAAGATATATGTTTGTGGCATTAACTGCAGATACTGCTACTTAAAATAAATTTGATCGAGTATTCTAAATAATTATTGTTGCGTATACAGGACCTGTCAAAAAGTTCGGACACTATCCATTATTCTAAACCTCTAATAATTAGATGTGGAAGTTTCACATCGTGTTATCTGTTGGGGAAAGTACGTCTCTTGAATTGGTTTCATTATATATATAATTATCATAGCAGGAAATCATGAATGGGAAAGATCAGATAGGAACACCAAAAATGTCTGCACTTTCGGTAGCCTAGCGTTTAAGATTTCGATGTGGTTGTATTTTTATTATTATTTATTAATCACCTTATACAAATCCCAAGAGCCATTCAGGGTAGAGTTATGCTGTGTGGCTATTTAAAAACAAAACCAATGGAAACAAAAACAAACAAAATGTCAATGAATCTGGCTAGATTATATACCCCAAAAATATATTAAAAACATTTATGTTTAAAATTCTCAGTGACTCTCTTTCGTGCACATGTATAGTCGCATCAACGTAAGCCAACTTAGTCCGATTATGTCCTACGGGAAGAAACGCGTCACACGAACAAATCTTTTTTTTTTTTTTCATTTTTCATACTTTTTATTCTCAAAATACTTTTGATATATAGACATGTATATATCGTTATCTCTCATACATATATATATATATATATATATATATATATATATATATATATATATATATATATATATATATATATATATATATATATATATATATATATATATATATGCCCCCGAAAATTTAATTAATCTCTGGTGAGAAAGTGAATTTGTAAACAATACTACTGCTAATACCGCAAAACTCTTCCATGAATTGCGCCTCTCTGTCATTGGCGTGTTCATTCGATAGGTCAGATTTAAAATCTCCGACTGATGCCAAGCCAGTCGGGTTTCAAGCCCAGCTGAAGGAAATCGGATGGCTAGCCACACTGATGCACTGTGATACAGCGAAACAGTCTATCTGTAGAGGACGATATATATATATATATATATATATATATATATATATATATATATATATATATAATTATGAATTAAATATATGGCAAAACTGACACTAAATGAACGTCGAAATTGAAATAGTGCTCGATAAAAATTTCATAAAATGAAAATATATTGCAAATTAATTAGTAAAATATCAGGAACACTGCCAAATACAAAAATAAAACCGATTGTCCGTTTAATTTAACTGTAAGATTTCAGGAATGGTGTATAAAGCCACGGGAAATATGAAAAGGGCCATGAAAAATTATATATTGGGTCCAAGGAGGGCATGTTTAAGTAAATATGTTATAATAACCGATCCTCATTTAGACTCGAAAAGTACAGTTTTGTATGGGACATAAAAGGAAAAAAAAATAAAAGCCCCATCATTAATTGGAATATACTGAAAGAAAACCGAGCACTTAGAACCAGAGGCGTGATGTGCAGGTTTTTTGTCAGAAGGAAAAACTGCCCATAATGACAAACGCTGATCGAAAAAACTACTTAATGAAAGATTTCAAATAATGGTAGACTGCAGACACGGGAAATAATTCTCTTTCCCAACTATGATCCCAGAAAGAAGTACTTATACAAATGGATTCTTTTCTTTCTTTCTTTCTTTCTTTCTTTCTTTCTTTCTTTCTTTCTTTTCTCCACCCTTCTGTCTGTATATCTATATCTTTTGTTCCACAATTTCTTTCTCTTTATATATCTAAGGTCTTTTGAGAAGAATCATAGACTTGTTCACTCACGAAAACGTGATTGCAAGAAGATCATCTTTTTTCTGGCACACACACACACACACACACACACATATATATATATATATATATATATATATATATATATATATATATATATATATATATATATATATATATATATATATATATATATGTATGTATGTATGTATAATTATTGGCATCCGTATAGAATTTCCAAAAGGATATACATCCGTTGAGAGCTCTATGTCAAAAACGGAACAAAAAATATTACATAATGAAAAAACAAACACTTAAAAAGATAGGTTATATTTATTTCATCAAAGACGATAAAAAACGGCTTCAAATTTTCAGGTCTGTAATATATATATATATATATATATATATATATATATATATATAACCAGGTTCAAAGCTCTTCAGTAAAATAAATCGAGACCTATGACTGATTGGCATTTGTTTACATTCTTGAAAAAAATATGCTAGATTTATCTAGCTCAAACTCACGAATGAAAATAGTTCAGTAGTAGAACATTTAACTAGCACCTAATCGGTTCGGTTCCAATCCTGGCTTGAGACACCCGGATGTCTAGTCCCACTGAGGACCTGTGATACATCGAAGCAGTACTGTCTCTGAATCTTTACACATAGACACCCCCATATATATATATATATATATATATATATATATATATATATATATATATATATTATAAATTAACTGATTTAAAATTTGTTTTTTTCCTTCACCGTTCTAACCATGTTTCAAAATGGAAGCTAAAAAGCCGCGAATTTAATTTTGCAATTAAATTAAAAGACATTAGTTCCATTCATCCTCAAGTGAATTTTGGAGTAACTTTTAAAATTACTGGGTTTTAAAGACACAGCTAAAAATCACGTTTCCATGGTTACAGATAAATCTACTTCAACTGGACAAAGGGTACTTGGGTTTTTCCTTATGTCTGCATCATTGTATCGGTTAATAGCTACATTTTGGTAAGGGGTAGGGATGTATTTTCAATGAAAACTGACATCCGTTGAATGCATGTCATCTGGATTTTTTTTTTTAATTTATTGTTAACGGCAAAAAAATTCTTACGATATTTTTTTCTATTTGTAAATTTAAAGATTTTCGCGTGTGTTCAGATTATAATACTTTTTATTTAACTACAATTTGAAATATTCTCATTTTTAATTTTTTATTATACTATATATTTTTTATTTTTTTTATATTTATTAACCGATACAATGATGCAGACATAAGGAAAACACAGATACCCCTTGTCCAGTTGAAGTAGATTTATCTGTAACCATGGAAACGTGATTTTAGCTGTGTCTTTAAAACCCAGTAATTTTAAAAGTTACTCCAAAATTCGCTTGAGGATGAAATGAAACTATTGTCTTTAATTTAATTGCAAAATTAAATTCGTGGCTTTTAGCTTCCATTTTTGAAACATGGTTAGAACTGTGTAGCGGAAAAACATATTTTAAATCAATTAATTTATAATATTAATGCTCTGTAAATTTACATCGAGCACTATTTTGTAAAAATAAAAATACCTATAAGAACACTGGATTATATATCTTAATATTCTTTCTTTATATATATATATATATTGTGTATATTTAGGCAGAAATTTTCCTTAATGCATGTTTCGTTATGAAAGGAACTTACTTAAAATAAATAGACAAAACTTGTCTATATTGTTTAACGCAGCATGCATTAATATATATATAAATTACACAAAATACTCAGACTTGAGACAGAAGTAAATGGTAGTATCATCAGAATAAATGCCTTCTTGGGAACTGATGATTTTAGGAAATCATTGATAAAGATCAGAAACAATGTAGGACCCAGGATAAAGCCCGGGGGGTGGGAGTTGGCATTTATAGGGAAGTAACTGGATGTGTGTCCGTTCTGAACGACCTTTATTTCACGATTTGAAAGGAATGATTTGATGAAATCAAAATGTCTTCTGATAATACAATAGCCCTGAAGCTTACGGAGATCACAATGCCAAACTCTGTTGAACGCCATCAAGACCTCTAGAGCCACTGCTCTAGCTTCGCCGTTCTTATCAAAAGCATTATATATATATATATATATATATATATATATATATATATATATATATTCAGTTATGGCCGTGGGCACTTCAGCGGTAGACCCCACGAAGTGGAATCCATATTGATTGCCAGAGAGTAAATCTTGAGATGCAAAATGCTTAACCGTTTCAGTATTGATTAAAGTCTCGGAGATTTTGCCGAAATGCAGTAGGAGACTGATATGGTAGTAGTGATAGGGGTCAGAAGGTTAACCAGTGTTCTTAAAAACAGGGACTACAAAGGAGAATTTCCAACAAGCTGGAAAGCAGAAAGCATCCAACCACTAGTTATATAGTTTGGAGAGAACTGGGGCCAGATCAAGTGCATATTTCCTTAGAAAAACGAATTGTATTCCATCACCTCCACTTGCCTTATGGGGGTCTAATTAGAAATGATTCTGTGACCAGCGACTGTGTTATGCAATTATTACTCAGTAGAGCATCAGTTCTAGGCGGGGAATCATGTGCGGGTACTCTTGACGTGTCTAGTGTTGAGTTGGATGAGAATTTCCGAGCAAAACGTGCATTCGTTTTTGCTTTTGAGGTCAGGAATTCGAATTGTTTGAATACAAGAGGGATTGGTGATTTGCTTTTCACGAACATCAATTCCTAGGCCGTGCATGTGAACTTCAGGGTAGAGGAAGGTAATCAGGAATAGAGAAATCAGAGGAAGGCATAGAAGAGATGAGGTTAGTCTTGGAGAGAGCTGGAATGTCCGGAGACTTTTCGAAAAGGAACAATTCTACACTGCAGAAGTAGACACCAATTGGAGAAGGAAATGTTATGGGGTTTAGACTATTTTTGTTGAACTGGTTTAGGTTTATATGTTTGTTTGATTATAGTCATAATATTGGTAAGAAGAAGGTCTAAGGTAGTAGTAGCAGCCGTTCATTTGATGTGACATATACAGAAGGGAAATAGCGCAGACTGCAACATAGTTTGGTCTCGGGGTTGCCCACCGGATGTTCCTGCAGATCACACTTCCATGCGCAACATGACACTGCAAGAACCCCGATATTAGGCAACTGTTGACCAGGACAGCCTCTCAAGACGTTACGCGAGAGTTCCAGCTCTTAACTACCAGACGGGAAGAAAAAGCAACAAGAAAACTGACAGCCCGGCATCCTCAGTATGAAGAGAGGCTGTCACCAACCACACACATCCCAAGAAAACTCATGACAGCACGACTATTAAGAGCTGAGACGACGAAAGAAACCGAACACCCTTTCCCACACAGGAAAAAATGGGTGAACATCTCTGTCCAAGAGAAGAGGGGGTAGTCTGGACGGGGCCTATCTGCAGCATTAAAAAGAAAAATTAACAACAAACAATCATGGTTTCACTTCCAAATACATTATTACAGAGAACGATTAATGAAAGGTATATCTGTGCGGGGGTGGGATATAAAAATTGTAATTTGGGTTAATAAAGTTTTAACTTACTTAAATTCCGACTGCTGACTTTTTCGGAGCATGTTAGCGCTACCGAACCAGTGGACCGACAAGGAAACATTACTACTTTCTTAGAACAAAAATTATCAAAAACAAGTTATATTTCATAGTAGATATAGCAAAATATAAGAAATGTTAAATTAATACGAAAGACAAGTGTGGAATCGTCCATTTACGGCAAGATTCATTGTCATCGGCTATTTAGTCAAAGTAAGTATCATGCCTTAGTTGGGATTCGAGATGGGGTGGAATTGAGTTGTGAGTTAGCATTACAGCTTCTCTTTTATCGATGGAGGGTGGGCCAGTGGGTTTTCTTTCTTTCTTTATAGAGAAAGAAAGAAAAAAATGCGGAACAACCAACGTTTTCAAAGCCTGTTAACGCTACCCGGCCAGTGGACCGTTAACGAAAAAAATCAATGTAGATTGTACGACAACTGAGGAAAAAAATCAACACTGTCTTAGTACAAAAATTAGCAAAATCGTGTTTAATTTAAAAAATAAACGAGAAAGTTTTCTATTTTGGAATATTTTATGAGCAATTTGTTCTTACGTTGAATATGAAATAATTAAGAGACTGAAGAAATTTGAAAGTGTTTTCAATGTATTTCTCCTCTTCATATAAATATTGTGGGATGCAAGTTCTGAGTTTATCCGAAGTTTCAAGATATTAACTACCGTAATTTTCTATGTATAATAAGTCTTCATCCATAATACGCACACTTAACATTATGCTGAAAATGTGTGAAAATGCTTCTACTCACGCATAATACGCACCCTTCGTTTGTTAATCAAACCCTATAAATTGTACCTCTTCAATTTCATTACGCCAAGCGTTTCCTACTCTTATTAAAAAATAGTTTTAAACATAGAATAATATTATTCTAATTTAGTTTCATAATAATCCTTAATTTATTTTACATTTGTAAGTATTGTTAGGTACATATGATTGTATTTGATATTGTTATGGGGTTGCAATCGCCGAATGTTAGTGTCAAATTGTCGTATGTTTGTGGTGAGTAGTCATTTCGCAACTGAAATTGTCCTATGAAACGGCAATTTTTTTAAAGATTTTTGTAACTGTGCATAAGAGGTACTCCTGATTTTGTTTATTATATAAAATACTAGCGACTTTAGAAAAATGTGTCGCATGCATGTGAAACATGACTGCCTGAAGACTAAAATTCAAACGACTCAAGAGTAAAAATGTCTAAATTTATTTGTTTTTTCTCGATATCTCATTCTCTCTGATAAAGCATATATATATATATATATATATATATATATATATATATATATATATATATATATATATATATATATATAGGTAACTACACTCGTCTCGGAAAACTTTTTTTTTTTGATTTGCTAATGATCAAATAAAATTCGAAGGAAAAAATGTTTTAAAAAAGAAAGAGCTAGGAACATGAACGTGTGTCGAAAATAATCGTACAGCATACAGGTCCAAAGCCCAAAGAAAAAAATCCCCATTACGAGTAATCAACTAACTAAAAAAGCGCCCAATACAAAAGTAGAGCAGACACACACATATATATATATATATATATATATATATATATATATATATATAGAGAGAGAGATATATATATATATATATATATATAGATAATTAGCTCCAAATTGTTTAGCCACCTTCTTCCAAGAATTATTGCTTTATGTTAGACTTCCCAGAGTATGCTTTCCCAATGCAATGTTGATCTAATTCAAGTTTAGAATCAAACATCATCTATCCTATATATTTGGATAATATGCATCTCTTCCTCCGCATTGCGACCTTAAAACACTATCAGTGTTCTGTAACCTTCTATTTTGAGGGGTATTAAGGCCTTCTTATATCTATCTATCTATCTATCTATATATATATATATATATATATATATATATATATATATATATATATATGGGTTGGACATACTGATCTCCGACCAATTGTAAATTAAAGATTATGGTTGAATACAAATGCAAGACGTATTTTTTAAATGCGACATAAATTCACCAGCCTAATTTTTTATTTATGCAATAACGATAGTTTCACGGTTTTGCTAGAATCTCTAATGACACTGATTTCCCGCCAATATATTCTGGCATCATTTATAATATTGAAACGGAACATTGATTTACTGAACAAACATTGCTACCGTGTCATAGTTAAGAAGAAATTTTCTCGTCCGTTGTACAGTAGCCATCGCATGAGAAAACTGAGACATAGAAGGAAATCACTTGAAATAAATGAGTCTTTTTATAAGTTCACTACACCCTTTTATTTTCCCACGTTACACGTATTTATGTGAGTGTGTGGCTGAGAGGTTGGAATGTTATAGTTCTGACAATAAGATCAAGGTTCGAATCTCAACATCGTCAATTTCCTCAAGGAGATGACGTCAGATTATGGGTTTTCTCACAGATAAGATGGGCTCAGCATAGTTGCAGTACAAACAAAAAGTTTGTTCTGTGGGTGATGAAAAACACACGTGCCAGAGCACGTATCTGCAACAGGGATTGTCTACCAACCTTAACAGAGTAATGTACTCCCAATTAAGCGAGCAGTCATTATATATATATGAAGAAATAGTTTTAAGTTGTGATATATATATAAAAGGATAAAGGGCTCAATATCAGAGATAGAGCGTATGTGAGGCCTGGCGATTGCATCTAGCATGAAACCCCTTGTCGCCTCTGAGTGTTGACTTCAATGTTTACGAGTATATATATATATATATATATATATATATATATATATATATATATATGTGTGTGTGTGTGTGTGTGTGTGTGTTTTAAAATTTCAGATAGAGTTTACCTGGGAAAATATGGATAAGTCGAAAAGAAAAAACTCACCTTATCCGAAGCGTTTCGTCCTCTGATGGACTTTTTTGTCAGGTAAATCTAAGGATTTTTTTTGGAAAGTATTTCTATTTCAAGAGTAGAAATGTTATTGCTTTTATAACTTTTTGGGACAGAGTGCTTAAAAATATTCATAAGTTTAGCGAAATAAAATCAGTCAATCTCACGAACGTGAAGTGATACATTTTAATGACTAATAAACGAAAGTGAGTACGAGAGGTTTTCTAAATATGTATATAAACATGCAAAATAATTTAGTTTGTCAGCCACTGAACTGTATCACCTCACATCCATGAACGTGCTTGACTTTTCCGCTAACCTGAAGAATATTCATGCGCACCCCTATAATAAAAAAACAATGAAAAATCAAGAAAATTTTTGCTCTTGTATAGAAATACTTATATTTGCTTTGATAAAGTCCCTCAGATGAAGAAACAGCTCGGCCAGCATGCGTTTTCCTTTTGTCTTCATATATATATATATAAATATATATATATATATATATATATATATATATATATATATACAATGTCTTATTCATATATATATATATAAATATATATATATAGTGTATGTGTGTGTGCCAATAAAATCACTATACAGTTACTTATAATATAAACGCTAACCAGTGGAGAATGTGACTTGCAGTTCGAACATTATCGACAATTAATTTATTATTGTTTAACACTGCATTTTATCATTATTAACCAGAAACATTATAATAATAAATTTTTGAACTGTTGATTATTTTTCCCCGTGACGCGTAGGGGCCCCATGTGTACTGCAGCCACAGTAGAAATGGAGCCCAACCCCCACCGGTTTTGAATTCAGAGTTTTCCTTACTCCTAGACCCATAGTTTGGAAGACGAGAAGAGAATTCATACCTTTCCCAAGGGAATAGTACGTAGGTGAATGTAATGGATCCGACTGGAATTAGAACTCGGCTCTTTGATACCTCAATTCGAACCGCTATCCATTACTCCGCCGTGCCTCCTTGTTGATTAATTGCTTTGGCTTAATTGTTATTCTCAATAACTGTATAGTGACTTTATTGTCATCCTGTATCCACTTTTATATTTACATACGCTCTATGCCTTTTACTGAGCACTTTTACACATAAATATAGTATAAATCAAAACTATATTTTATCATATATATGGGTGTGCAAGAGAGGAAGAAAGGACGCAAAGCGAGTGAAATCAATTATACCAGAAGCTAAGTCCGATTACTATCAGGTATTTCCAGTAACATTTCGAATTTCTAAATGAAGAAAAAAAAACAAACAAACAAAAAAAAAAAAAACAGTCAGCTCCGGGAGCTTTTTCAGTATCTACATCTCAAAAATATCTAATCTCAATGACAGTTCTAATTGAGTTTCTAACGTTTCATTTTTTTTTTCATCTTTTTATTTCCTTTATTTCTTTTTGCCTCAGAAACTGTGTCCTTCTCTTTTATATTAATGGAGATAATCAAGGGATAATTATTTGCAATGTAAACATTGAAAGTAGCAGCACCTAACACCGTTGAAGTCAAGAATTAGCCGCCCTTCAAACACAATATGGCGCGTACGTATGATTACTCAGCCAAAATTTGTGTGCTGTTATATTTAACAGTACTCCCCACAAGGAATTTATGTGGCACAAGGCAGAGAGTTTGGCAGTTGAACAATCTGTGCGACCGTTCCTTTGTGTGCTGTATCATTAGGTGTTGCGCCTGTGTACGATTATCCTACACTTGACGAATATTTATTTGACGCTATTTATTTTACATTTTCTCATAACTTTTATAACGTACAACGGAAGAACATGCAATGCTAATATATCTTCTCCTATAAATACAGCAACATTAAACAGCATTATTATGTTTCAGTGTTTGTGTTTTAACTAACGCTATTACTGACAATATTGACATCAGTTCTAATAATCCCAGGTTTCTCTGAATATTTAAAATATACGTTTTATATCGACGTTTATGGAGGAACGATACGCGATGTAAGTAATCGAAGTGACATTTATATGTAAGTGCCTCTAAATATTATTCCAAACCATTAATCGTATCTCATAAGGTTTTATCAATACTAGTTTCATTTTATAGCCTCTCGATAAAGTTGCTTCCAGTTTATGTAATCCACCATAAATGGTTATTTAAACAATTACTTTCCTAATTTTTGTTGTTGTTGTTATCAGAACGCACACTTCGGGCTTCTTCAGGTGCATATCAATCAGGCTAATCGATCAGGGTGATGTGAAGTGAATGTTTTGTTTAATCTGCCGGGGTGGACTGTTCTAATTCCCCTGCCCACGTCTCGAGATATGTTGTCTAGTTATTTTTAGTCCCTGCTCAGTTAATGATCGCCCGTTTCCGATGAGTTCAAGTACACACTGCTCAACCCAGGGATTGAATTTACAATCACTATGTCACCAAATTCACCAACCAACGCTTTCATCCGCTGGTCTATTCCTCGGTAAGACAATAGTTTAATGGATTGAATGACGTAGTTAACCAGATCGATATACACCTGATGAAGTCCGAAACATTGTGGTAACTACAAAGGTGAGGGCAATACCGTAATTCCCTATGTATAATACACCTTCATCCATAATACGCACGCCCAAAATTATCCTGGGAAAATACTTCTACTCACGTATAATATACATCCTTGTTTGGTAATCAAACCCTATAAATTGTATCTCTCCAGTTTCATTACGGCCAGCGTTTCTTACTCTTATTAAAAATAGTTTTAAATAGAGAATAATATTATTCTAATTTAGTTTTATAATAATTCTTATTTTATTTTACGGCAGTTTCTTAAAAACTTTTTGTAGCTGTGCATAATAGGAACTCTTGATTTTTTTTCTTATTATTTTTTAGAATTATTATTATAAATGGGGTAGTCTGAATGTAATTTAGTGTAAATAATGCTAACTGCTCATCCCAGAAATTCAGATAGGAAATATCAAACGTATCTTTCGATGACCGTTTCCATGTAATGTTCTGTGAACCCTCTCCTAGTTATTGTTTTAAATGTCATTTATTTGAGGGTTTTAATTCAAGGGAAAAATCATCCCCCTTAAAACACTTCTGTTACTTGCACTTGCCTTCTTTCAGGCCACTCATACTGTTTTTCTTTTTCTCCGTGACCAGTTGACTCCCCTTTTCTTCTATTTTTTTTTTTTTTTTTTTTTTTTAGTTTTCTTTCTTTCCTCTTTCTTTCCTTCTATTCTGTCTTTAATCTTTCGGCATTGCTCTTCTTTCGATTGTTTTTTTTTTCATCATTTTTCTCATTTTAATTTGTCATTTCAATTTTCGTTTATTTCAATTCACCTTTAAAATATGCTGTCTGCCATCTTTTCAAACATCACTTCGTTCTTTACTTATCCAATTTCAACTTCTTCTTTTTATGATCTTTTTTTTTTCGCTTTCTTTTTGTTCATCTCTCTAAAGTTCTTTTCCCTAAAATAATTGTTCCTTTTGCTTTCTCCCTTTCTTTTTCTTTTTTCAACATTTCATTAGTCGTTCTTTCTCGTCTTCATTTTTTTTTTTATCACAATGGATTCCAGTTTAGTTTTTCCTGGTGTTGTTTACTTTTTGACTTCACTTTTGCATTCGTTTCCTTTCTTTTTCTCCTTATATTCATTCATCATCATCATTATTATTATTATTATTATTATTATTATTATTGTTGTTGTTGTTGTTGCTGTTGCTGTTGTTGTTGTTCTTCTTCTTCTTCTTCTTCTCTCTCTTTCTTCTTCTTTTTTTTGGTAATGTATCTATTCTCAACCTGTTTAGGCACCACTTCCTTTTTTTCTTAATATTCCACTTAGCCCTTCATTTTTCTCAATTTTTTTCTTTTAATTTTGTATTTTCTTCCCTTATTTCCACATCTTTCTTTTTTCTCTTTCTTTTCTTCCCTTTCATTCCATTTCTGCATTATTTTTTTTTGCTTTCTTTCGTCTTTTTCGTTTCTCTCAACCTATATCTTTTGTCTTCTAACTTTTCTCATTTTCTCTCTCTCTCTTCCTTCTTAATATTCGATTCTTTTTCCTCTTCATCTACTACTACTACTACTACTGTTCTGATTACGACTGATTCCTTTACCATTGTCTCTCTTAATTATTTTCTTTTGCATTTTCACTTTTCTCTTGCTCTTCAAATTCTGATACGTTTATATTATTCTCTATGAAGCACTCAAGCCGTAATACAATGTTTTCAATCGAAACGAAGGGACAAAAATAAAACAAAACATTAATAAATCGATCATTTCGCCAACCCGAAAGGATAGTCCAACACATTGACCTCTAAATTGAATTCACAAAACCTAATTTTGGAAAGTAAATTATCAATTCTTTAAGCAAAGTAACATTCAGTGAATAGCCAATAAATCGCAGCTGTTGTTGACCGAACAAAACTAATAGTCACATGGTTGGCATCTAAAGTCAAACAAATATTAAGTTCGGGAAGTGAACCGATTTTAGAAGTACACAAGCCAGTAGCTTTCTTCGGGATATCTTGCGAAGAAGAAAACTAATGTTAAACAGGATTGTTTAAGGCTTGTTTCTTATTTGTCATCGTCAAGGATATGACAATAAACTACATTTGTGTCCTGGGTAAGACGATAAACTATGTCCAACAGCAAGGTTAGGATCCCAGCTATGGGCAAATAGTTAACATACAAACTGGCGTGAGAACACCATGAAAGTGTAAAAATATGTTTTAATACCCGAAATACTTTGTAAAAAAATATTACCAGCAATACATTTTTGGAAAAATTATTACCAGCAATTCATTTTTGAAAAAATCTACCAGCGATGCTTTTTTGAAGAAAAAATATTACCTGCAATAGATTTTTGAAGGAAAGAAATTGTTACCAGCAATAAAAAAATTGCCGGCTTTAAATAACTGATTGTGGTTGAGATGCCGTAAAAGAAACCAAATGAAACCAAGAGAAACTTTATTTGTCAATTGTAGATCATTTCTAAGTATAACTTTAACTAGCTCAGGACTAAATGTATGGAACTGTTTGAATGTTAGATCCTTAGACTATAAGACCACAGCTTCTCGTCAAGAATTAAGGGACATATATCACTGATACGGGTGTTATTTTTAATTTATCTTTTAACATTCAATGCTAAAGCCGTGACCACTTTAACAATTATCCGACATCTTCATAGGCGATATGGTGACCTTTTTTCGAGATTATTAATTCGCTTTGTCAGGAGCAACCATGACGCGGTTGCTCTTCCAGTTGCATTTTTACAGGTTTGAATTCTAAAGAACGCATATAAATGTGGCTTTTATCTAGAATCTTGTCTTCAAAAGGTCCTTGAAATCTGGCACCAAATGCAGCTGCTATTTTTCCTCAAAAGAAAGAACAACCTCACATTCCCACTCTCTCTTTCTCTTTCTCGCGCTCAATTTTTATTAGACATCTCGTAAATCGACAAAAGTGCTTGAAGATGCAATTTTGTTTTATTAAATATAACGCAGTCAGTTCAGATCCAAAACACTTTGCAGACGATAGTCAAGAATGATGATAGACGGCGCAATATGCAACTACTTCTGGTTTGCCGGTTTTATACCGATTATTTTGGAGATACTTCTCTGTATACATGCTTCCATTTTTGAAACATGGTTAGAACTGTGTAGCGAAAAAAAACATATTTTAAATAAATCAATTTATAATATTAATGCTCTGTAAATTTACATTGAACACTATTTTGTAAAAATAAAAATATCTATAAGAACACCGGATTATATATTTTACTGTTCTTTATATATATATATATATATATATTCGTTTGTGCATGTCTGTCTATTAAGCATATTTAATTGTCCGCATCTTTATTGAGGGACCTTTTTACGTAACACCGTTAGCCGTAGTGTTAGTAAGTAGACATATTTAAGATACATAACTATTTTAGCAAATGTTACACCTTTTCTCCAGAAAAAAATCCTATCAGCAATAGCGATACTATTTCAGGTTTTAGGTCATGCGTGCAAAATCGTATTGCGAATCACATGAAGCTAGTCCTCGTTCATACCGTGCCCAGTTCAAGTTAAGACGTTAAACTTAGCGCTACGGAAGAGAGCCACATGGCTTAGACAAGACACCTCACTCACTCTTTAACTCACTAACAGAGTAAATTTATAAATACTATCATAGGAGCAATCCGTAAATTTACAGATTCTTGGAGAAAATATTCAAATTAAATAGAATTGTGGCATCTGTGTTCATCCCATGTGACTTTGATAGTGTTGATAGTTGGTAGGATATTTATTTTAACGGAAACTTTAGGAATAAAATGAGTTGATTTGACGGTTACAAATAATATATTTTAATTTGTTTTCTTTAAAATTGATGGTTGAGTCCTTTCATAATGTCGTGGTAAAAAGTTCTTTAATAAAATGGATATTGTTAGCAGTCTGGAGAAATGTCCATTTCGATAGTTTGAACTATTACCACGGTCGGAGTAGTAGTAATGTTAGAAATTATGTCAATGCCAATCTGCTATTGTCTTCTCGGCTTTGAAACTGGGCGGAAATGTCAGTAGCAGTTGACCTCTTTCCTGTGTCTTCAAGCATCACACACGGTTGTGTTCTTTTGATAGGTCCTCACCTGGTTTCGTTCTGTTTCCATCTCTGCCGGTTGGTCTAGAGATATCAGGTTTTTATTCTTTTTCATCACTCTCCTGAAATGGTGGCCAACATCAAAACCTTTTTTTTTGATAGACCAAATTATTTTATTTTGCAGTGTTCCTTTATTTTTCCTATTTTTTTTTTATAACGGGTGTTATGCGTGGAGCGTCCTTGGTTTGAGGTATATTTTAGTCACGAATATGTAAGCTCTAAGCCAGCAAACTTCTGGTATTTTTTTCCTCCGAGTTCAGTCTTTCTTCTTCTACGTCTTTTTTATTTGAAGGTTCTTTTCTTGTAGGTTGAGAGAAGTGCAGAAAGTGATGATTAAGGAAAGAGAAAAAGAAAGAAATAATCGTTTTAAATGAAAGCGAAAATTAACTTACTTTAATTTGAATTTTTTTTATTATTGATTATATATTTTTTTTTATATGTTTTATTTTATCGGGATTCAATGCAGATTAAAAGATTCTGCAATTCTCTTGCTTATCTATTTTATCAATAAACTTATTTTGTTCGTAAAACCTTGTTCTTCATTTTGGGGTATATTTCTTTACTTTATTCATAACAACTCTTGAATTGATATTTTAAACTTTCCTATTGAGATTTGTGCCACGGAGATTTCTTCTGGAATTAAAATCTCCAATGTACCTTCTCGTAAATACCAAGTGAAACCAGAATCAGAATATTCTCCTTCGTTCACACCAATCTGTTTACCCGCTATTGCCTAAAGGAATTACTTTTTACGGGTAAACCAGCGTAATTGTTTTGATCAGAAGAGACGCCTATTTGTGGCTGTTCGCAATAATTTTAAACCTGCCCTCAAAGGGGTTAAGTATTTGTTTGCTCATAGAATGAAGCACCGTATAGCTTCTAATAGGTTTCTTTCTCGTGAATACCAGCGGCTCTGTAAATAGTGCCTTAAATAACAATAATTATTCTATTCCTCCTCTCTTCATTCAATTCGTTGTGATAATATATGCTGCTGATAAAATAGGTTTTGCTTGTAATTTCTAAAATTAATTGACGCGTTTTCTACGACTTATCAACACTTTGCAGGTTATTTAAACCAGAAAATATTTTTTAGATTTTAAGTAATATTTTTTATATAATAATAATTCAGTGATACAAGTTTTACTAATTAACCTATAGCTGGAGGGAGAAGATATGGATTTATATCTTTCCCAAGGTTATTAGCGCGTAAAGAGAATACAACGAATCCAATTTTAATTGGCAATCAGATCTCCGATAAAAAAATCCTGAGCCATTATCTATTACACTACACGGATATCCAAGCTTACAAGCTACAAATGTTCACCCATCTGATCAGGTTTGACTTTGCTTAAGTTCAGTTATCGTACGAGAACTGGAGTATCTTTGCCTGCTGACCTTCCACTTCTCTCTATTGAGTGATACACACACACACACACACACACACACACACACACACACACACACACACACACACACACACACACACATATGCCCCGCCTTGGGTTTGTTATGTCATCTTTAAACAGGATCATCACATAGCGTGTGTACTTGATGGTATACATGTAATAGTCTTTAAGAAATGTGCCTCTGTTGTCTCTAAAGTCTACTAAAATAAATGCCTTCTTGTTTTTTCTGTCTGTTGGAAATTGTATTTTGTAGTTCCATTCTTTAAGAAATCAGGCGAGACGTTTGATCCTTCTAACTCTCGGCCTATTCACCTTCTACGTTTTTTTGGCAATGTACTAAATTATGAATTGTTTAAGCATCTCACTTCGCGGTTTTTCTTTTGTTTTTTCTTTTTTTTTTATACAGATAATCAATATGGCTTCCGCTTCAACTGCTGGTGTATTAACAATTATTGCTGAAAGAATAAATAACCTTAAGATAAGAATGGTAAAACACGGGTTAAGGTTTTTTTTTCAAATACTATATCACTTCAGGATGTAAGCGATCTTAGCACTTCATGGCTTCCTTTTGTAATACCTGTTCTGGCATTCATGGTTTCAAAATGTTTGTTTTTCTCATAGACTGGTTTACCTAAAAAGGTTAGAGAACATAATCTATCCTATTAGTTTATTCTAACTGGAGAGTCGATGTTCAATTTTTTTTCTAAGCAGTGGGGTGTAATAAAAACGAAGTACAACACTCTAGGTAAGAATTTGAATGATTCTTTTATACCTTCTCGTAAATACCAAATGAAACCAGAATATTCTCCTTGGTTGACACCGACTTGTTTCTCCGATATAGCCCAAAGGAATTACCTTTTTACTGGGTAAACCAGCGTATTAGTTCGGAGTCATTTTCCGAGATAATATATGTTATTCCACTCGTAAATGACTACCTGTCAAACATTTCTGGTCTTGTTGTATTTTAAAAGAAAGAAAAAAGAAATTTTCTATTCGACAAGGAAGCATAAGTATTGCCGACTCTGAATTAACGCAAGATGTCTTCTAAGGGTCATTACCTACACAGCTTTGTAGTAAGCAATCATCAAAATCGCTTAAATTGTATTGTTATATAAAGAAGTGGACACACAGCGGTACAGCTTCGCTTTAT